GGGGACATTGGGGAGAGCAGGGGGACACTGGGGGAATTTGGGACATTGTCCCCATGTCCCCAGTGCCACGGATGACTTCAACCACGGCGTGGTGCTGAGCGCGCGGCCCCTCGGGGACAACGAGTGTCCCTGTGTGCCCAGTGTCCCCATGGTGACACTGCTGTCCCCAATGTCCCCAGTGCCACGGATGACTTCAACCACGGCGTGGTGCTGAGCGCGCGGCCCCTCGGGGACAACGAGCTGTTCCAGGTGCGCCTGGACAAGATGGTGGACAAGTGGGCGGGGTCCATCGAGATCGGCGTCACCACCCCCAGCCCCGCCTACCTGCAGCTGCCGTCCACCATGACCAACCTGCGCTCAGGTGTGTCACCTGGGTCACCTGGGTCACCTCAGTGTCACCTCAGTGTCATCCCAGTGTCCCCATCCCAACCCCGCCTACCTGCAGCTGCCGTCCACCATGACCAACCTGCGCTCAGGTGTGTCACCTGGGTCATCTCAGGGTCACCTCAGTGCCACCTGTGTCACATTTGTCACCTCAGTGCCACCATCCCAACCCTGCAGTGTTCCCATTGTTCCCAATCCCCCACAATGTCCCCAATGTCCCTGATGTCCCCAGTGTCCCCAATGTCCCTGATGTCCCCAAAATCCCCCAATGTCCCCGATGTCCCCAGTGTGTGGGGTAATGGGGACACTGGGGGGACTGGGGACACTGGGGACAGGACCTGTACAGGCAGGGGTCACAGGCCACCATCATGGACGAGGGAGGTGGGTGACACTGGGGACACTGGGGGGATTGGGGACATTGGGGACATTGGGGACACTGGGGACGTTGGGGACAGGACCTGTATGGGCAGGCAGCACAGGCCACTATTGTGGACGAGGGAGGTGGGTGACACCTCTGGGGACACCGGGGGGATTGGGGACACTGGGGACATTGGGGATGTTGGGAGCATTGGGGTCACTGGAGACTTTGGGGACACTGGAGACATCGGGGTTCTTGGGGACACTGGGGACATCGGGGACACTGGGGGCATTGGAGACAACGTTGAGGGGATTGGGGACGTTGGGGACATCAGGGACATTGGGAGTTTTGGATTATTTGGGACATTGGGGACACTGGGATTATTTGGGTCATTGTTGGGGGACACTGGGGACATTGGGGATGTTGGGAGCATTGGGGCCACTGGAGACTTTGGGGACATTGGGGACACTGGGATTATTTGGGTCATTATTGGGGGACGCTGGGGACATTGGGGATGTTGGGAGCATTGGGGCCACTGGAGACTTTGGGGACATTGGGGACATCGGGGGAGTTTGGTGTTTTGGGCTACGAAAGATTCTGAAGGACATTGGGGACACTGGGGACATGGAGAACATTGGGGACACTGGGGACACCGGGGGACACCGGGGCCATCCCCGAGCCCGCTGGCCGTGTCCCCAGAGGTGTCCTCGCTGGCTGGGGACGGCTCGGAGGGTGACAGCGGCGGTGGCAGCCCCGAGGGCGCGTCCCCGGGCGCGTCCCCGAGCGACCTGCGCTTCCACCGGCTGCACGGCGCCAACGCCGTCATCACCAACGGCGGCCGCACGGCGCTGCGCCAGAACTGCCGCTCCGAGTTCAACGACGCCATCGTCATCTCCAACCGGTGAGCGGGCCAGAATATCCCAAAATTCCCAAAAAAATCCCCAAAAAAATCCCCAAAAAAATCCACCCAGAAACAGTGAAATCCCAAAAAACCCTGTGAAAATCCCAAACCCAACCCCAAACCCTGCCAGAGCGGCCGCTCCGAGTTCAATGACGCCATCGGCATCTCCAGCCGGTGAGGGCGCCGGAATATCCCGGAATTCCCGAAAATCCCAAAAAAATCCCCAAAAAAATCCACCCAGAAACAGTGAAATCACAAAAAAACCCCATTAGAATCCCAAAAACCTGCCCCAACCCCAAACCCTGCCAGAGCGGCCGCTCCGAGTTCAGCGACGCCATCGGCATCTCCAACCGGTGAGGGGGCCGGAATATCCCAGAATTCTCAAAAAAAAACCCAAAAAAATCCACCCGGGAATCCCGAAATTCTGAAATCCCAAAAAAACCCCGTGAAAATCCCCCCAGTCCAACCCCAAACCAAACCATTTCTCAGTTTTGGGGTGTCCCATTTTTGGGGTGATTTCCCCCTTTTTGGGGTCATTTCTCCAGTTTTTGGGGTAATTGTCCCATGTTTGGCGTGTCCCACTTTTGGGGTGATTTCCTGTTTTTGGGGTGTCCCAGCTCTGGTTTTGGGGATGATTTCCCCATTTTTGTGGTGATTTCCCATGTTTGGGGTGTCCCATTTTAGGAGTGATTTCCCGTGTTTGGGGTGATTTCCCAGTTTTTGAGGTGTCCCGTTTTTGGGGTGATTGTCCCGTTTTTGGGGTGATTTCCCAGTTTTTGAGGTGTCCCGTTTTTGGGGTGATTGTCCCGTTTTTGGGGTGATTTCCCCGATTTTGGGGCGCAGGGCCCTGCGGGACGGGGAGCTGTTCGAGATCGTCATCCAGAAGATGGTGGATCGATGGTCGGGCTCCATCGAGGCCGGTGAGGGGACACGGGGACAGCTGGGGACAGCTGGGACACTGGGGACATCGGGGACACTGGGGACAGCTGGGGACATTGGGGACAGCTGGGGACATTGGGGACACTGGGGGGACTGATGGTCGGGCTCCATCGAGGCCGGTGAGGGGACACGGGGACAGCTGGGGACAGCTGGGACACTGGGGACATCGGGGACACTGGGGACAGCTGGGGACATTGGGGACAGCTGGGGACATTGGGGACACTGGGGGGACTGTCCATCGAGGCCGGTGAGGGGACACGGGGACAGCTAGGGACAGCTGGGGCACTGGGGACATCGGGGACACTGGGGACAGCTGGGGACATTGGGGACAGCTGGGGACATTGGGGACACTGGGGGGACTG